GAGAGAGAGAGAGACGTCGATAGCCAATTAATAGATCTCATAGTTCGTCGTGTCTGCCGGTTGTCGACAGCACGTAAGTCCGTTTTCAGGGTGGAACGTGGAACCATTCTCGAGGGCCTCGTTAATATTCGTGTCCTTTAATCGATGATTACCCGGTGATCGTGCAATTAGCGCGTCCCTCGATCCTCGAAGCTTGTTCAGATTTTATTTTTGTTTTCTTTTTTTTTTTTTTTTTTTTTTTTTTTTCGTCTCTCGTAATTTCTTCCTAAATTATTCTGGTGGCGACGGTTGGGATGGAAATTCGAGTTCGAAGAAGTTAAGGTTGGAAGAGCGATCCAAAAGTCCAATTTTCGGTTTTCGAGGATGGTTGTAGAGAGTTGTAGAGAGTTGTAGTAATTGTGGAACGATATTTTGAGTTTTGTTTCGTTTGAAAATGTTGAAGAACGGAGTACTTTCCCTTTCACTTTCGTTATTTTTGATTAATTTAATTTATTCGAAACTTTGGAATGGACGAAGTTTGGGAATGATTAATTTCTTTCCGAAGGTTAGAGGTTATTTCTTTCAAAAAAAAAAAAAAAATTCTCTCCTCGTTTTGAAGATATTATTATTAATTAAATATATTTATCCGCTCTTGGCAAATTTTTCCACGTGTTAAAGTATTTCCTTTTATAATAACGAAGGATTCGAGGATTTTATTAAGAAATGAATATTCTTCGAAATGTATTTGCATAACGATCGTCAATTTATCATTTACCTAATTGCTTTCAACAAACGCTAATAAATTAATCAGAAACGAGAAAAGTAATTAAAAAAGAGGGGAGCGGGGGGGGGTGGGAGGGGAATATCCACAGTATAAAAGAATCAAGATCCAATGAATTATTTATGAACAAAAGAGAATACATGAATGCACGAACAATTATTCATGAATTAGAGAAATAATTACCTAGTACATAGAAACCACTTAACTAAATTAAGTCACTCTTATATTCAAGAAAACTTCAATTAACATCCTCATTCAAAGATCAATCTCATCCGAAGTCCATAGTCATTTATTCTCTCGAGATATATCGCATCTTATCTTAATTAAATGTTAATTAAATATCTGTAGCCTATTAATCATTTTTTTTAATTATCAATTTTCATTACTGAAAATCATATTACAACAACAGGTGAGAGATTATCACAATCGCTATAAAAAAGGAAGAGAGAGAGAGAGAGAGAGAGAAAGGAAAAGAAAAAAAATAGCATCTGCTTTGCTTTTACCAAAGACATATTATATAAATATTATAAATCAAAATTGAAAATAAATTACACTCCGTCTCATAATCATCGGCTAAAGCTCATCAAGCCTCTATACCGTGCCCCGTGTATAAATAAATTTTTGCATTTACCATTTCAAAGATTAATTTCAACACAATTCATTCGAAGAAAATTAATTTACATCCACAAATTATCGTAACTGTATTATTCGACTTAAAATCCAATCCTTATTATATATATCCTTATTAACGAAACATCCTTACGCCGCCAATTATCACCGAATTACAATCAAATAATCATCGTCGTCGTCGTCATCATCATCATCATCATCATCATCATCACAAACATCCGAAAAGTATCCAAACCAGTACCCTTCGACTCGGAATCGGAACACTTCGCGCGACAACGCCATCTCTCTTTCTCTCTCTCTCTCTCTCCCTCGACTCGAACATCCACGACTTCGATATCGAGGAAAAAGACGAGGAACACCGAGAGAAAAAGGACGGCGAGAACAGGGAGAGGAAGAGGGAGAAGGAGCGGTGGTGGGGGTCGTGGAGGGCCGCAAGTTGAGAACTGCTAATTATGTAAATTGCCGGTGTTGCAAATTACCCTCACAGAGTTTGCGTTCATTCTGCACACAATCCACACGCTCCCTGCACACCTCGCACGGAATCCATCCACTCGGATACTGTTACTTCCTTCAGAGAAGGAGAGCCTCTACCGTACACCAGATGATGAAGAAGAAGAAGGAGAAGTAATGAAAAAAAAAAAGAAAAGGATATATAAAAGCCAGTCAGAAGTGTATACTCGCTTATACTCACCGTGAAAATTTATCCATTTTGTTGAAATTAAATACTGTTGCACGCATACGTTTAGCCAATATATATAAATCTTCTTTCCTTTTTGGAATAACAAACGACTTTTTATTCCTCACCGATTCAATTATTATCGCATGTGTCAACGATATCCGTGGTGTGAGTGGGATCTAAAAGCCAAAAATTGCTGCGCAAAAATATCCTAGACGAAGCAGCTTAATAAACAAGCCTCGAGATTTATTTTATTTCTTTCGCCCTAGTAGAGCCAATCCTCTGTCAACGTTTTTCTCTTCGTTCGAAAAAACGAGAGAACTTCTCGAAATGCGATTTCAAGTTGAGAGGAAAAAAGAAAAAAGGAAATCCCAGAGGAATCCTATCCCTCCATCCA